CCTTGACCTTGGGTGAATCACTTGTCTCTCTGTGCCTCAGATTTCTCATCTGTAAAATGAGAGAATAATCCTCCCTATTTCAAGGATCGTGAGGACTAAGCGCATTAGGATGTGTGACGTTCTTAGAATAATGCTCGACACCTAGTAAACACAACAGGAAGATTAACTGCTCAGATCTGCCATGTGCAAAGCACTGTGTCAGGTCCTGTGGGTATTTAAGGAAACAAGATAAAGTCTGAGCCCTTGCCAATGAGTTGGGGAAACAACGGTGAAATCTCAGTGACCATGTCCAGGAGAAAGCCAGGATCGAATGAGTGCCAACCCACCAATCATTTTTAGTTTGGACACCATCCATCCTTAGTTAACCATTCAGTAACTTTCATCAGGTGTCTAGAATGTTGCAGGCACCACGCCATTCCTCCTAGAAGTAAGGACTCAAGCTTCACTCTTTTCTGGTATTAGCAAGATGCCCATTTGGGGTCAGTTGTTAGAGAACCAGTCCATATCTACTGCCTACTTATTGCACAGACAAGGCAGTTTCCAGAGTGTCAAGTGTTCTAACAAACCCATCATGAGAAGCAGCCAACAACGACTCTCCATGGACTTCCCCAACCAGGCTCGGGGGGACTCAGAGGCAAAGGGTCCATATCTCCCCTTACAAGGTGGGTGGCAAAGAAGGGTGACAGCTAACTCCCAGTGCTTGGGCAAGAATAAACAAGGTGTTCACAGATGAAGAACCGAGAAAAACAGAAATCTCAGGTGAACCTAAACTCATTGTTTGGCCCTGAGTCTGTTTTACTGATTGTTTTCATGGAATTGACAACTCAGCCTCATTGCTGTCATCAGACAAATCCTCTTGGGGAATCACAGCTGGGTAGTCTGGGCTGGTATTCTGGTCCCTCTGAAGACCAGAATAAGGTTAGTAGACCTACCTAGTGAGATGCGTCATGTTTGCTCATGTCAGCGTTGTTCACTCCTTAAACGCTGTGAGGTGTACATATATGTAAAAAGCACTGGGTGGGTCATGGAAATACAAGTGTGGCTGAGAACATGCCCCCGAGCCCATGACGCCATACCCTGGCCCTATAGAAACAATTTAGTGTTGTTCCCCAGGAAGAAGGTTGGGAGAGACTGGAAAACAGCCAAGGTTAAAGTTTAAGGGACATGTCCATCACTTGGTGGTTGACCAACAATATCATTCACTTTTGTTAAGTCAACTGTGCTACATCAGAGAGACAGAATATCTGGGGGGGGCATGAAATCCTA